GTCTCTTCCAAGAACTGTAACTGGACTCATGGGCAATGGAGATGATTAGCTGTGGGGACTATAGCTGGCAAGGTCATGTAGAGGTGGAGCCTGAGAGGATGTCCTAGCAAATCAGTTCCAATGCCAGGGATTCCTTCTTTTAAGTTTAAGGCTCCTCCCTTGGGCAATTCATACTTGATTTCCCATCCTGAGTGTCTATAACATTTACTGTCATAAAGGAATGAATCCCTTCAACATAGGCTAGTACACAAGGGTTTCTAATTCTTCCTATCAGGTGGTGGAGCCAAAGTAATGATGATTAAGGGGCCACTGGATATCAGTCATCCTTACAGCTAGAAGGCAAGTTCTTGAATAGACTGTTTGGAGGAAGGTGTTGACAGAAAGCTCTATTAATTTTTCTTTAATTAAAAAAATAGAGGCAGTTTATACTGCTAGCAGTTACGCAACAGCAGAAGCAGTGTCTTGCTGCCTTCAAGGAGTGAAATGGTTAGTTAAGAAGGTGGAGCTAACAGCTTCTCACAAATCTCATCACAGGCGAAGTATCTAGAAGAAGCAGCCTGAGTGAAGGCTCACTTGTCCAACAGAACCCTCTGGGACAGTGGTTCTCAGCAGTGGGTGGGTTTACCTCTCAGGGCACATTTAACAACATTGGGAGTTATTTTTGGTTGTCACAGCAGAGGGGTGGAGTTCCTCTAGCAGGTAAGGTCAGGAATGCTGCTAAACACCCTATAACACACAGGACAGGCCAGAATTAGCCAGCCTTAAAATAAAAAAAAATTAGTAGGGCCAAGGATGGGAAATCCTGCTCCTGCAGGATCTGAAAATAAAGCGGTTTCTCTGAAATGGGGAAAATGGTTGTAGAACTGGTTTTGGTCTAGCTCCACAGATGCTGTGCAAAATAAAATAAGCTGACAGTTTTCTAGTACTAAGAGAGTGAAATGAGTTGGGTGCTGTGGCTCATGCCTGTAATCCCAGCACTTTGGGAGGGAGGGCTGCTTGAGTACAGGGGTTTGAGACCAGCTTGGGCCACTTGGCGAGACCTCATCTCTACAATAAATAAAAAAATTGGTCGGGCATGGTGGCACACGCTTGTAGTTCCAGCTACTTGGAAGGCTGAGGTGGAAGGATCCTCTGAGCCCAGCAGGTTGAGGCTGCAGTGACCGTAAGTGTGCCACTTCACTCCAGCCTGGGTGACAGAGTGAAAATTCAACTAAAAAAAAAAAGAGAGAGTGAAATGTCCCTTTATCAGGAGTGATGAAAACCGAGCTCGGTGGCTCAGCCTGTAATCCCGCGCCTTTGGGAGGCTGAGGTGAGTGGATTGCCTGAGCCCGCGGGTTCGAGACCCACCTGGGCAACTTGGCGAGACCTCATCTCTACAATAAATCAAAAAAAAATTAGCTGGGCGTGGTAGCACACACCTGTAGTTCCAGCTACTTGGAAGGCTGAGGTGGAAGGATCACCAGCGCCCAGCAGGTTGAGAATGCGGTGGCCTGGAGCGGCCACTGCACTCCAGTCTGGGCAACAGAGTGAGACTCCAACTCAAAAAAAAAAAAAAAAAAAAAGAACTGGGACTAGAGTTAAACATCCAGATGATAAATAGTCAAATGGTCTCCACAGTGGTATGTCTTAAACAGGATAATCCACTGAGTTCTGAGTACAGAACTTCTATTACATTTTCTTAAAAAGAAGTTTTTTTAATTTTAAAGATGTGGGGTACAACTTACATTTTCAACTTTTTTTTTTGAGATAAGGTCTCACTCTATCTCCCAGGCTGTAGTACCGTGGCATGACATTTTTGGCTTGCCATAGCTCCTGGGCTCAAGCGATCCTTCCGCCTCAGCCTCTCAAGTAGCTGGGACTAAAGATGCATGCTACCACACCTAGTTAATTTTTTGGTAGGAATGAGGTCTCATTACATTGCCCAGGCTGGCCTCAAACTCTTGGACTTGAACAATTCGATCGCCTCAGTCTCCCAAAGTGTTAGGATTACTGGCATAAGCCAGTGCACCTGGCCTATTTCCAACTTTAAAAAAATAAAAGCTGAGTCACTTAGTCTAGGTGTCAATCATGTGCTAAATATGGTGTGAGAGGTGTCCCCAGAGAAGAGTAGACATTTCTCTTCCAAGGGTTGATGGTGGGACCTCACTTTCTGGACAGGATTCTCAGGTTTCTGGCCATAGGCTGGACCAGTCGAAACCATTAATTTTTTTTTTTTTTTTTTACCTCCAAGCAAATCTCCAACTAGTGTCGTCAATGGAACACTTGTTCACAGCCACTAGAGTCCAGGAGGACCACACTGATTAGCGTCCAGAGGGAAATAAAAAGCTTTCGATTTCAGGTAAAAAGGTAAAGCGCTTAGGCCGTCATTTTTTTCGGTGTTTGCGGTAGAGCAAAACAGACCTCACAAAATTAAGTATCTGTTATTTTATTAGGGTAAATACACATAATTAAAATTACGTGATAAGTATGCAACAGCTGAAAGCACACGACATTAGATTACGTTTTAAAATCTAATTTTTACCACGGGATAAGCATCTCAAACTTGGCGAGCATTTTGTCAGACTGGGCATCAGATGGCGCTCACCCTCACCAAAAGCGCCAGCAGTCCCTGAGCACACACAGGCACTTAAAACCCGGCTCGGATGCCGGCCAATCCCGTGTGGTTCAGGTCTATTCTCTGAGCCTCTGAGTCGTCATCTCCAGTGTGGGGGCGGAGACGGACCCCGGGTCCTCGCAACCCAGACCGCCTTTGATGCCCGGACTACCGTGGTGGAGCTGACACAGTCGCGCGGCGGCTTTCCGCCATCTGAAACAGCCATTCGAAAAAGTCAGGCTGGGAAAGTGACACAGGCAGGCGGTGCGCGGCTCCCGCTGGGACCGCTTTGGGCGGCACAGCAAAAACTCCTTAAACACGTAGCGTCTCCATTCCTCCCAGGGTGTCTGTCCGCGGGTTACTTCCAGCTAAGTTCATCTTCCAGGAGATAAGTGCGGGTTCTACTGCGGACCTAAGTCAGCACCCTGGGGGCACCGCAACACAGCACAAACTTAGTCCCCGCCCGGGTTTCCCGGGCGCCGCGCAAAATACAACTTCCGCCCCGAGGGAACTGTGTCCGGGAGGCGTGGCCTCAGAGGTCACGTGGGGCCGCGAAATGACTGCCTCGCGGGGCGCTCAGGTGGACGCCGTACGCCACGTCATGTGGGTTGTTCCATCAGGTCGGGGGGCCCTTCCCTGTGGCAGGCATGAATAGAGACCAACTGCGTCGCATGGGGTAATCCGAGGGCAAGAGAAACAGCTGTCAGAGTCTGAGCAGTTTCCTCTTTATAATGCGGCCTCTCCGGGGAACAGCCTCTTTTGATTTTCCCTCGACTCCTCTGCTTCCCCCCGTAGGATTCCCAGTGGTATCGCCCGCGCCCCTCCTCCGCTCTCCCCCGCACGCCACGGCCTGGGGCCCCTCACGTGACCCCAGCGAGCTCCCGCGGGGGAGCGGAGTCTCGGGGGCGGCGCCGCTGGGTTCCGAGGGCCTTACAGAGCATCGCGCGCCGCAGCTGTCGCCGGGACTCCAGCACGGAGGACACGATGTCGGGGCTCTCCCGCCGCC